GCCTTAAAATTTTTAAACTGATTCAATAACTTAAAAACATATTGCTACGCTTATACTTCATAAGAATCACGAAATACTACAAAGTAGGAAAAAAATGCAGACTGATTATCAGTGCATTATTAATTTCCTACCTATGTATTAAGGCACAAGGAAGAGGGAAAATAAAAATCTGAGAAAAAATTTGGAATTTTAAAAGGTTAAAATGCTGTCTTCGTTTTAAGTATGCGCCAACGATTGAAGAAACAATAAAATGATATTATAATCAATATCCTCCTATATAGAGGAAGCCTGTGGTTGATTATATATTCGAAATATACGATGACATAAATTTGCCGTACGTTCTTGAAGATATAGATTTGTTTCTAAAGAAAACAAACAGCAAAATATTGACCTCGACCAGCGAATACGATGACATAAATTTGCCGTACGTTTTTGAAGGTATACATTTGTTTCTAAAGAAAACAAACAGCAAAATATTGACCTCGACCAGCGAAGATGAAGCAGGGAACTATAATTATGCAAGATAGGTATCTTAGGGATATAATCTAGGATTGGATTATCATAGTACAACTCAGTATCACTGTCCATGTCATCCTGAGAAGTTGACATGCAACCAGTAGTATCATTAACATTGCTGGAGGCTTGCACCTCTCCATTATTTGATGAATCTAAGTCATGTGAGGTTGAAGGCTCGTTGTCGTCAGATACACAATGAACTGAATCCGGATCGTTGCTTTCAGAGTCAGATGCATTCAATAATGCAGTATAAAAATCTGGCTCAGCTGACGTTTTTTTTTCTTTTCTTTGGTCGAGTGACTTTGGTGTGGTATCTCTAATTCTCGTATAGATAGGTGAGCTTGCCTGATTTCACAGTAGTCAGTCGATTCCTATGTTTTGAGTGAATACGACCTTGGGAGCTGAAGGATCTTTCAATTGCCCCAGCAGGTGGGCACACACAGGACAGGGCTAAGGACTTCAATGGCTACTTTGCCAAGCTCTGTGTTTTTGGCAAAAATATTTCCACCATGACAGGGGCGAAACTTTTTTGGCTCGCCACAAATAAGACGTTGCAAAATGACCTCCTTTCGGAGCGAAAAGTGTATACTCCTCTGAGACCGCGTCTTGATTTACGTGTGACAAATTGGTGGCTATTCTATCAATACGTTTCAGGCCTTCTTTTTCAGAGGGCGACAAATAATCGCCACTATTCAGGAACGAGTCTAGAAGATTCGCTGCAAAATGAATATCCTTAAGAAAGAACTTCTTACTTTCCTCAATGATATTTTGAAAAATTGCAGCATCTCCTTCCTTAAAAATACCAGGTGTCCCACAAGCATGAGTAGCAGAATTTTTGAGTTGTCAACATTCACCAACTTCACTCATCATCACTCAGTCCGTCTGCACTTTGATCAACCATGAGTATAGAGTCTCTAAAAACTTTAACACCCCGTCAAGAAGGATCCAAAAGTCATCAAACAAAATGTCTTTCTTTAGAGCTGGGGTGATGGTTTGTCCCTCTTTTTGTCCATTCGCCATTTGGGCGTCGACGCATAGAGCTTGCAGTACATTTTTTTCCTCCTTACTGCATCAGCACACGCAAAATTTGACTCAAATCTGGTGTCGCAAATTTTTCTCAGAGAGACTTTTTTTGCACCGTAAATATCATGTTGTTTCTGCTTAAGTATTGGAAGAAGGAGTAACTTTCCTTTAACTTCAACTGTTATTTTTGAACATTTATCGAACACGATTTTCACAACTTCAACCTGAGAATTTATATCTCTCAGCTGTAAATGTAATGAGTGCATTAAGCATCCAAACCATGTAATATATTTATACTTTTCTTCAATTAGCTTACTACTAAGTTCAATATTTGAGCAATTGTCGTTGATGTGAACGGGAACTTTTTCTGCACCAAGTTCATCAATCAGTTCTGATGCTTTTTCAGCATCGTATGTTCCAAAATGTCTGCTAGACCCATAGTCGACGGATTCGTAAAATATGTGAGTAGGAGTGAATACAAGGATATTCACAATGAAATCGCGTCTAATGTTAGACCACCCATCTAAACCAACACGTAATGAATATGCAACGGCTATCTCCTGGGCCATTTCGGCTGATAGCTTTGTGTACTCATCTTCAAGAAGTTCGTTATGCAGGCGGGTCCGGGATGGCACCTTCCGGACTGGGCAAAAGTTCCGCAAAAAATATTTTCATTATGGATGTTCGAACTTGCGAAACGGGGTGTTCGTAGCATACAAAGCTCGGCTGAAGAGGAAATCAAGCGCCATCAGAAAATGAAAATAAACATGGAGTGAGACAAGATTAAAGCCAGATTATTTGAACTGGCTCATCCAAGCTCTTCCAGGGCAATATGGGACAGTAAACTAAATTTTAAAAAAAAAAGGAAATTGAACATTTATTTTAAAAAGAACACAATTTTAGTAAATTTGAACATTTCGAAGGGAAACAAACACGGCATGGAAGCTTAAGAAACTCACAGCTAATATCTAAGTTAAAACATTTACACTGAGAAGCACAATGAGACCTATGGAACTTTGGGTGAGTAACTTTAGGACTTTTAGGTAACCTATAAATATTTAAATTAAGGAGTTAGGTACCCAGGTGACAAAAATGGGTTGAAAGCCTTGAGAAACTTTCAGCTAATATTGAGGTTTTTAGGCAATTTTGGGGATGAAAACGAATTTTTTTTTAATAACTGATGCATACCCATCAACAGAGGCACATTTGTGACTTACTCATATATCAGAAGTTTGCATGCGGTCATAGTTTGCATACTGAGATCCCCAGGAAAGTATTACGGTTTTAAAAAAAGATCAAAGAGACAAATGCTCGTTCCGTCCTATACTCACAATACTTTTCCATGGCGCTTAGTTCCGTTTGACAGAACTCGCTATCCACGATTTAAAATCCTCAAAAGGAACTCAATTTGGCGCTTAGTTCCGTTTATCAGAAATACGACCATTTATCAACATTACGGTTTAATTCTTTGTGTCTTCGGTTTATTCTTTCGTCATTCCACTTTCCCAATCCGAATATAGTTCAAAATGCGTCTGAAGCAAGGACAAGGAAAGGAAGAAGCAAGGATTTTTGAGAAATGACAAAAAGGAATTTTCTGGACAGCAAGGAAAAGGTACTGAAAAAGCAAGGGACTTGAATTACAGGGTACCAGTAGACACCTTGCAAGATCACAGAACATCATTTGGACTGAGTTAAGCAGGAAGGAACCAACCCACATTTTGGAAAAAATTGAGTTATGAGTGGTTTTGAACCCAACCATCGCTCTACTATCTATCGCCAAAAATTCAAAGCTTTGTTGGAGCAAATTTTGCAGAAATTGAACTTGAAGTTTATCTTTTACATTGAGTCTTATGCAGGAGCCAAACTTTAAACCTCTTTTTCTCGGTTCGACCCCGATGTGGTTGGTTCCTTTCTGTTTAACTCTGTCCATTTAATCCGCTGAAAAATGTCCTGAGGAAACTGGAACGTATTGTTTCTTGCGGGTGTACCGAAAGATTCTCCCAAAAGTCGGGTGGAGCGCCACGGTAGGATCGGCGCCGCGGTCATGAGCATTTATCTTAGACAGACATTGCGTCGATCCATTACACTCCCTCCGACTCCGCGGCGGAATGTCTCAGTTCATGAGCGTTGCAGAGTTGCTAAATGAAGTGCACATCATATTTCGGCGGCCCCGAGATGGATCCCCGGCCCTGTCGTTCGACTATCGAACCCCTGACTGTGATGGATGGAGCCGCGGCTCTTACGCAAGTCCTTCTTCCATAAATCAAACTGATAGCGCACCGCAAACAACTATATGATTGCGTCGCCATCCGCTCCCCGTGCCGCCGGGGTTGTCGCCCGCAGGGCTCGCCGGAAATCCCGAGTACCAGTTCGCAATCACAGGGAAAGCGCGGTTTTTTTGGTACGATTTGTCATCGATGCTTGCTGAGAGACCGATCGATGCGCAACTCTCGAAAAGTTATCACGGGGAGTCTCAATTATCAAGGGTGATCGGGACTGGGGGTATCGCGGATGATCGGAAATCAGAGGACACGGGAGTTCCGAAACGCGCCATGTTGCCTGTGACTCAGGAGAGGATGTCAAAGACTGGGGAAAGTTACCCCCAAAAAAGTTTCAATTTCGATCGCATGGAATAAAAGAACATTGCCGTAGCCTGCAGTCCGCCATGGAGAATTTGCATGCAAATGTTTTATTGCTTCATCTGAAAGTGCTTAAAGAGCTGATTTCACAGTATTATTTATAATTTTTTTCTGATATGGGAAATGGTGTAAAAATAGATTTAAAATTGAGAAAATGCACCGCCTAGTGACGTCATCTGGCAGCATTTCCCATTTAAACACATGTATTTTAGCAGATTATATAATTTTGTCATATCTTCTCTAATAATAATTGTTCAATTCGTGAACCAAGGGTATCCTCGTTTTCAGTTCACTCAGTAGTTTCCGCTTCAACACGAAATTCATCAAATTTCAAACACCTGCAAATTCTCTATTGGGCGTATTTCCATCAAACGGAACTGTGTGCATTTAGACATGAGCCCTGATACCCATAAGAATATATGAATTTCAGGGCTCATGGCACAATGCACATTGTTCCGTTTGATAGAAATGTCCAATTGAGGAGTTGAGCGTAGAAACGGCATTTCTTGGTTTCGCTGTTTCAGAGCACCCGCTGCTAATTTATAATATAGGGAAGAAACGGTTGAGTGAGTTCTCTAAAGTGTTTCATTTTTAGCACCGTGAATTTATGAAGAAAATTCGGTCAAAGTTTCAATGACGTTTCCCTCTTATGGATGAAACGTTACCGGAGATTCTGGGACACTTCAACCAAGAAATGCCCTGTGTGCACCCAGCGCCTAAATCAACGCCTGTGTATGGATAGACTTCAATTTATTATTTAAAAGAAATAAAGAAAATCGTCGAATCGAATTAACTTGGTTCTTTTCCTTTTCTCTGTTGCAGATTATATCGTCAATGGAAATTTGGGATCACGGCTGACGAAGCGTGCTTCTGAAGAGTATGATGAAGATAAATATGGCAGAGTAAGTCTAATTCTAGGTGAGTACATCAATTGAAACAATTATATCCCTCCCATAATTATATTTGAAACATTCTCACTCAGAATACATCAGGGCATCTGTCAACCTTCTTTATCGAACAAATATTTTCTTTCCAAAAATAGGCTTCATCCTTCTTGCTGAAACCCGCCAATTCTTATTTGGACGTATTTATGCTGAGAGGAACGACGCGGAAGTAGAAAGATAGGGTGTGCTCGTGGAAGCTGTATAAGAAACATTGTAAAATTGGCTATAGTTCCCTTTGAGAAAATTAAAAAGCGGAATATGACATTAAATCAAAAGGAACTGAGCGCTAAATCGTGAGCCGTGGGCATTTATCTAGAGCCGGACAGGGCTCAAGAATTAAGGACTGACGACCTAGTCGTTGTAGCTCGTGTCGCGCCTCGTCGCCTCCGGTCCTCACCGCTGACGTCACTGGCGCTTTTAAAGTTCCATTCATTCTTATGGTCCGAGCACTCCCCATCTTTCCTTTTGTACATAGTTCCATTTCACATAAATACGTCCATTTTATGTAAACAGTTGAAAAAGTTCGTGTGTATTGTTACTTCAGGTTACTTAAAGTTATTTTTTTTTTAGGTCCGATGAAAGTAGGACTTAGTTGATCGACACAATTTTTGGTTAAATCGACCAAAACCGTAGGTTACTCTGAGACATCTGGGGATGAAGGAAGTGTCTTGTTGAACTAAGGATATGCTCTTGTTTCTCTCGGTGCCGTTCAGAGATTGCGACTGAAAAATACACCAAAGTTTTGTGTAAATATGGGAAGTAAAACGTGAAGTAACACAAGCTGTCGGTTACTTTTTTGAGTTAGTTTCTCATGTGTCAAATCGACAAAATCTTTGTGCGGCAGCGACGGAATTTTCGTGTTGAAAATCTGTGGCCTCATTAAAACTAGGGCTACCACGGTCAGGGAATACTTGGAGAAGTCGGGGAATTTTAAAAAGTCAGGGAAAAATACGAAAATGTGAGGGGAAAATTGTCAAATCGCCTTCATTTGCTTTCTCGAGTAGGATTGACGTTTCGAACAACAAATTTTGCCTGAAAACTATTTCTAAGTACGTCCTTTTAACAATCTGGCCTTTGCTGAATTTTCAGGGAATTCCACCAAAATGCATCCGGGAAATGTCAGGGAATTTAATTTTTCTAAGTCTGTGGCACCGTGTAAAACGAGGCGGCAGCCGTCGGGATTGCATCGGTGATAATCCAATGTGCTGGCCACTCGACAATTCACAACGTTTGTGTGACGGGGAGGCAAACAAGAGAACATAATCAAATTTTGTAGAAACTTCTTACCGATTTTTTCTTTTGCTAGAAAAAATCGGTACGAAAAAGTTTCTACAAAATTTGATAAAATATGGCCCGATAAAGTTAACAAAAGAGGTGAAGAGTACATAAAGTTCCGCAGGGGTAGAACACTTCCTTCATGCCTAAATGTTTTGGATAATGCACGGCTCGGGTCGATTTAACACAAAATTTTGTTGAGCAGCCAAGTCCTTTGCATTGATCTGCACTGAGAAAAAACTATGGTTTATAAACCTATTGGAGGTAAATATGGTATAATAGTCGTAAATAAACTAATGATTCTCGGTCTGTGAACCATACTAAGGTCTCTGTACCTAATTAAGGTACCCCGTACCATAACTAAGGTATATGTGCTATTATTATATGTAGAGGTACTACTATTAGTGGTGTTCCATATTTACCTCTAATAGGTTTATAAGCCATAGTTTTTTCTCAGTGTGACACAAAAAAAGTAACTCCGAACACGGACATTTTCAAGCTGTGTAGCGCAATGGATTGTAATAGCTGCAATCCAGGTTCCATCGTGGCGGCTTTTGTCTAATTTTTAACGAGGTTGCAAATTTCAACTAGACACAATGATTTGGTCAACGCAACCCGAAGACTCAATCAATTATTTAACCCAAAGAAAATCTAATCAAAAATATTGACCGCACGCCAAGGCTACTTTGTGTTCTACTATCAATATGAATGGGAAATATCGGTAATTTTTTTTACCGCGTGTAGTGCATTGAGAATAAGCTATGGCTTATACACCAATTAGTGGTTCATATGGAACACCTGTACATGAACTAATGATTATCGGTATGTGAACCATATTGTGGCAGCTCGTACCATAGTACGGCACATGAGGACTCATCTGTAACAATAGCGTTTCGAAATTACCTTTTCGAAACACATTCAAAAAAGCGTTTTTGCATCGAGAAAATTTTGCGAAAATACTTGAGATGTGATGTTCGAGATCTGTACATAATGCCAGAGCCAAACATATTAAATTTTTGTGTGAAGAAAACAGTTTTTAAGCGTGTTTCTAAAACGTAATTTTTCACATCCGCCATTGTTACATATAAGATCTCATATATACCATAACTAAGGTATATGTACTATTATTATGTGGATTGCATTTTGCAAAAAGGAACCACTAGCATGCAATGTTGTTAAGATTGTGCAACTTCTTTTGTCTTGGAGGAAAAACCCGATTATTCATTAATAGTTTCTATTTTACTCGCTAAAAAATGTAAATTTAAGACAAAAATACCATCTAAATTTTCGCAATTTTATTGCAAAAGATAACGTCGCACAATCTCAGCATCATTGCAATGCTAGTGGTTCCTTTTTGCAAAATGCAATCCATGTGTTGCCTTCACTACTATTGGTAGAGTCACTATGAGCCACTAATTGGTTATGAGCCACTAATTGGTTTATAAGCCATAGATTTTTCTCCGTGTGGTAAATTAGTGTTGTTTACTTCTATCCCTAAAACGACAGGAAAACAGCCCTTGCTAATATTTAGTCCTACCAGGTAAGGCGCCCCCGGCCTCGGTCCCTGCTTTCCTCGCGGTGCATTCGTCGTGCATTTTAAATTGGTCGGTTTAACGTCCGCGGCCATGCGGCCGGAGTTACGAGCCGTAAACGTGGCCGCGGGGGTGTTAATAACAAGCCCGGCTTCGGGAATTGAGTTACTTTCGCCGCGACGCTTCCTCATCTCCCGCGCATTTTAATAAATCCCGCGCTCCGGAAACCCATAAAACCAGCCCCGCGGACGAGGCGTCAAGTCGTGAAATTTTTCCGCTACGCTTTCTGTGACCCTAGTTGCCAATTATCCCGATCCTGCCTTATGCTTTTTTTTTTTTTTTTTTTTTTTTTTTTTTTTTTTTTTATCCAGGACATTCCCCTAACGTTATTCAACAATTTACATAATATAAGTTCTTATAGTAATTAATATGAGACAAAAGATAGAAATTAGTTACAAAAAAAAGAAATAGAGATAATTAACATATAACCTGCCTTATACTGTCGTGCTAAGGAAGAACGCCGTATGGACATTTGGGAGTTGCCAAATTTTCCCCACTGGAAAAAAAACCACATCGGATCTAGAGTCCAGACTCTTAAAAACATGGACAAGAAAAAGGACTCTTGATTCAATCAGATTTAAGCTTAAATTAAAAAGAAATCGACTCAAATTAAGAGGCTTGGTTCTTAATTGATTTAAGCTTAAATCTGATTAAATCAAGAGTATTTTTTCTTGTCGATGTTTTTCAGAGTCTGGACTCTAGATAGAATGGGTTTTTTTCCAGTGCCGGATGAAACACGCATATTTGGAAAAATTCATGCATAATTTGACCGTGTTTAGCAGATAGGAACCAAGCCGCATCAGCTATTGGCATTTAACTGCAGCGTGATTGTTGAAATTTTGTGTTTGTCGAATAGTCATTGATGACATAGGTTAAAAGGTGGAGCGTGATTGGTCGGCTATGTCTTATCGCTGCTTTATCGTGCCTATGTCGGGTGGAACTCACGAAAGGCGCCTCTTAAATTTCCGACAGTATGTCGTCCATTCCACCTGACAAAGCACGCTAAAGCTGCGATAAGACATAGCCGACCAATCACGCTCCGCCTTTTGACCTATGTCATCTATGTCCACCCGACAAACACTAAATTTCAACTATTAAGCTGCTGGGCAATTTAGTTTTTTACAAGAGAACGTTTCAGCAAATTCCTTTGAAACTTTGAAGGCATTTGCTTCCTACTGCGCAGAAATTTCACTGAAATTTGCACGAAAATCCGCACAACCGTTTCCATGTATAAAATTTAGTTTTAGCTGATGTTCCTTTCTGTTGAACGCGGTCCATCGATATTTTCAGATATATATGTATAAGATAAATTTGCGGACAAAATTTTATGAAAAATTTAAGTAAAAGATTCACAATCCTGCCAATAAACCTTTTTTTTTTTTTTTTTTTTTTTTTTTTTTTTTTTT